CACTGTTGTTATGTCAGTGTTGTCCCTCCTAACACACTGTTGTTATGTCAGTGTTGTCCCTCCTAGCACATGTTGTTATGTCAGTGTTGTCCCTCCTAGCACACTGTTGTTATGTCAGTGTTGTCCCTCCTAGCACACTGTTGTTATGTCTGTGTTGTCCCTCCTAGCACACTGTTGTTATGTCAGTGTTGTCCCTCCTAGCACACTGTTGTTATGTCTGTGTTGTCCCTCCTAGCACACTGTTGTTATGTCATGTTGTCCCTCCTAGCACGCTGCTGTTATGTTAGTGTTGTCCCTCCTAGCACGCTGCTGTTATGTTAGTGTTGTCCCTCCTAGCACGCTGCTGTTATGTTAGTGTTGTCCCTCCTAGCACGCTGCTGTTATGTTAGTGTTGTCCCTCCTAGCATGCTGCTGTTATGTTAGTGTTGTCCCTCCTAGCACGCTGCTGTTATGTTAGTGTTGTCCCTCCTAGCACGCTGCTGTTATGTTAGTGTTGTCCCTCCTAGCACGCTGCTGTTATGTCAGTGTTGTCTCTCCTAGCACTCTGCTGTTATGTTAGTGTTGTCCCTCCTAGCACCTTGTACTTATATCATGTCTATATTGCCCCTGTTTTATGCATCTTGCAACTTCCCGAGCTGTAACATCCCCAGACAGTCTTCAGAGTAGCTGTAACATCCCCAGACAGTCTTCAGAGTAGCTGTAACATCCCCAGACAGTCTTCAGAGTAGCTGTAACATCCCCAGACAGTCTTCAGAGTAGCTGTAACATCCCCAGACAGTCTTCAGAGTAGCTGCAACATCCCCAGACAGTCTTCAGAGTAGCTGCAACATCCCCAGACAGTCTTTAGAGTAGCTGTAACATCCCCAGACAGTCTTCAGAGTAGCTGCAACATCACCAGACAGTCTTCAGAGTAGCTGCAACATCCCCAGACAGTCTTCAGAGTAGCTGTAACATCCCCAGACAGTCTTCAGAGTAGCTGTAACATCCCCAGACAGTCTTCAGAGTCGCTGTAACATCCCCAGACAGTCTTCAGAGTAGTTTGCAACATCCCCAGACAGTCTTCAGAGTAGCTGCAACATCCCCAGACAGTCTTCAGAGTAGCTGCAACATCCCCAGACAGTCTTCAGAGTAGCTGTAACATCCCCAGACAGTCTTCAGAGTAGCTGCAACATCCCCAGACAGTCTTCAGAGTAGCTGCAACATCCCCAGACAGTCTTCAGAGTAGCTGCAACATCCCCAGACAGTCTTCAGAGTAGCTGTAACATCCCCAGACAGTCTTCAGAGTAGCTGCAACATCCCCAGACAGTCTTCAGAGTAGCTGCAACATCCCCAGACAGTCTTCAGAGTCGCTGTAACATCCCCAGACAGTCTTCAGAGTAGCTGTAACATCCCCAGACAGTCTTCAGAGTAGCTGCAACATCCCCAGACAGCCTTCAGAGTCGCTGTAACATCCCCAGACAGCTTTCAGAGTCGCTGTAACATCCCAGACAGCCTTCAGAGTCGCTGTAACATCCCCAGACAGCCTTCAGAGTCGCTGTAACATCCCCAGACAGTCTTCAGAGTCGCTGTAACATCTCCAGACAGCCTTCAGAGTCGCTGTAACATCCCCAGACAGCCTTCAGAGTCGCTGTAACATCCCCAGACAGCCTTCAGAGTCGCTGTAACATCTCCAGACAGCCTTCACAGTCGCTGTAACTTCCCCAGACAGCCTTCAGAGTAGCTGTAACATCCCCAGACAGCCTTCAGAGTCGCTGTAACACCCCCAGACAGCCTTCACAGTCGCTGTAACATCCCCAGACAGCCTTCACAGTCGCTGTAACATCCCCAGACAGTTTTCAGAGTCGCTGTAACATCCCCAGACAGTCTTCAGAGTCGCTGTAACATCCCCAGACAGCCTTCAGAGTCGCTGTAACATCCCCAGACAGTCTTCAGAGTCGCTGTAACATCCCCAGACAGCCTTCACAGTCGTTGTAACTTCCCCAGACAGCCTTCAGAGTCGCTGTAACATCCCCAGACAGTCTTCAGAGTAGGTATAACTTCCCCAGACAGCCTTCAGAGTCGCTGTAACATCCCCAGACAGTCTTCAGAGTAGCTATAACTTCCCCAGACAGTCTTCAGAGTCGCTGTAACATCCCCAGACAGCCTTCAAAGTCGCTGTAACATCCCCTGACAGTCTTCAGAGTAGCTGTAACATCCCCAGACAGCCGTCAAAGTCGCTGTAACATTCCCAGACAGCCTTCAGAGTAGCTGTAACACCCCCAGACAGCCTTCAGAGTCGCTGTAACATCCCCAGACAGTCTTCAGAGTAGCTGTAACACCCCCAGACAGCCTTCAGAGTCGCTGTAACATCCCCAGACAGTCTTCAGAGTAGCTGTAACACCCCCAGACAGCCTTCAGAGTCGCTGTAACATCCCCAGACAGTCTTCAGAGTAGCTGTAACATCCCCAGACAGTCTTCAAAGTCGCTGTAACATCCCCAGTCTTAGAGTAGCTGTAACATCCCCAGACAGCCTTCAGAGTCGCTGTAACATCACCAGACAGCCTTCAGAGTAGCTGTAACACCCCCAGACAGTCTTCAGAGTAGCTGCAACATCCCCAGACAGTCTTCAAAGTCGCTGTAACATCCCCAGACAGCCTTCACAGTAGCTGTAACATCCCCAGACAGTCTTCAAAGTCGCTGTAACATCCCCAGACAGTCTTCAGAGTAGCTGTAACATCCCCAGACAGTCTTCAGAGTCGCTGTAACATCCCCAGACAGTCTTCAGAGTAGCTGCAACATCCCCAGACAGTCTTCAGAGTCGCTGTAACATCCCCAGACAGTCTTCAGAGTAGCTGCAACATCCCCAGACAGTCTTCAGAGTCGCTGTAACATCCCCAGACAGTCTTCAGAGTAGCTGCAACATCCCCAGACAGTCTTCAGAGTCGCTGTAACATCCCCAGACAGTCTTCAGAGTCGCTGTAACATCCCCAGACAGTCTTCAGAGTAGCTGCAACATCCCCAGACAGTCTTCAGAGTAGCTGCAACATCCCCAGACAGTCTTCAGAGTCGCTGTAACATCCCCAGACAGTCTTCAGAGTAGCTGCAACATCCCCAGACAGTCTTCAGAGTCCCTGTAACATCCCCAGACAGTCTTCAGAGTAGCTGCAACATCCCCAGACAGTCTTCAGAGTCGCTGTAACATCCCCAGACAGTCTTCAGAGTAGCTGCAACATCCCCAGACAGTCTTCAGAGTAGCTGCAACATCCCCAGACAGTCTTCAGAGTCGCTGTAACATCCCCAGACAGTCTTCAGAGTAGCTGCAACATCCCCAGACAGTCTTCAGAGTCGCTGTAACATCCCCAGACAGTCTTCAGAGTAGCTGCAACATCCCCAGACAGTCTTCAGAGTCGCTGTAACATCCCCAGACAGTCTTCAGAGTAGCTGCAACATCCCCAGACAGTCTTCAGAGTGCTGCAACATCCCAGACAGTCTTCAGAGTCGCTGTAACATCCCCAGACAGTCTTCAGAGTAGCTGCAACATCCCAGACAGTCTTCAGAGTCGCTGTAACATCCCCAGACAGTCTTCAGAGTCGCTGTAACATCCCCAGACAGTCTTCAGAGTAGCTGCAACATCCCCAGACAGTCTTCAGAGTAGCTGTAACATCCCCAGACAGTCTTCAGAGTAGCTGCAACATCCCCAGACAGTCTTCAGAGTCGCTGTAACATCCCCAGACAGTCTTCAGAGTAGCTGCAACATCCCCAGACAGTCTTCAGAGTCGCTGTAACATCCCCAGACAGTCTTCAGAGTAGCTGCAACATCCCCAGACAGTCTTCAGAGTAGCTGTAACATCCCCAGACAGTCTTCAGAGTAGCTGCAACATCCCCAGACAGTCTTCAGAGTCGCTGTAACATCCCCAGACAGTCTTCAGAGTCGCTGTAACATCCCCAGACAGTCTTCAGAGTCCCTGTAACATCCCCAGACAGTCTTCAGAGTCCCTGTAACATCCCCAGACAGTCTTCAGAGTAGCTGCAACATCCCCAGACAGTCTTCAGAGTCCCTGTAACATCCCCAGACAGTCTTCAGAGTAGCTGCAACATCCCCAGACAGTCTTCAGAGTCGCTGTAACATCCCCAGACAGTCTTCAGAGTCGCTGTAACATCCCCAGACAGTCTTCAGAGTCGCTGTAACATCCCCAGACAGTCTTCAGAGTCCCTGTAACATCCCCAGACAGTCTTCAGAGTCGCTGTAACATCCCCAGACAGTCTTCAGAGTAGCTGCAACATCCCCAGACAGTCTTCAGAGTCGCTGTAACATCCCCAGACAGTCTTCAGAGTAGCTGCAACATCCCCAGACAGTCTTCAGAGTAGCTGCAACATCCCCAGACAGTCTTCAGAGTCCCTGTAACATCCCCAGACAGTCTTCAGAGTCCCTGTAACATCCCCAGACAGTCTTCAGAGTAGCTGCAACATCCCCAGACAGTCTTCAGAGTCGCTGTAACATCCCCAGACAGTCTTCAGAGTAGCTGCAACATCCCCAGACAGTCTTCAGAGTCGCTGTAACATCCCCAGACAGTCTTCAGAGTCGCTGTAACATCCCCAGACAGTCTTCAGAGTAGCTGCAACATCCCCAGACAGTCTTCAGAGTCGCTGTAACATCCCCAGACAGTCTTCAGAGTCGCTGTAACATCCCCAGACAGTCTTCAGAGTCGCTGTAACATCCCCAGACAGTCTTCAGAGTCGCTGTAACATCCCCAGACAGTCTTCAGAGTCGCTGTAACATCCCCAGACAGTCTTCAGAGTCGCTGCAACATCCCCAGACAGTCTTCAGAGTCACTGTAACATCCCCAGACAGTCTTCAGAGTCGCTGTAACATCCCCAGACAGTCTTCAGAGTCGCTGTAACATCCCCAGACAGTCTTCAGAGTCGCTGTAACATCCCCAGACAGTCTTCAGAGTCGCTGTAACATCCCC